GTGAAAGTAAAACCTACCAGTTAAAGAATGCAATACAGCGCAATAACCTCAGTAAGAGTAAAAAGAAAAAAAAAAAAGCCCACACTCACAAATATCTTTAAAAAGGCTCAGAGACCCAGCAAAACAAACAAGCAAAGAAACAGATATTAACCATTAGCCCAATTTAACCAGTAAACACAGAAATACACACCAACTCTGGGTGTAAGTCTATATGTGTATATAAACGCAATTATAAATATAAATTCATCTGTTATTATTATTTCCTTTCCACACATATCAAAAAACAGTTCATCGTCATTATCATCACAGTGCAAGCCCAGGTGCACACACACAGAGAGAGAGTTTCCAAGAACACACACACACAATGGAGTAGCAGCAATAATAATTATTATAGGATAAACACAGAGAGAGCAAAAACACACAAAACACATTAACACTAAGAAACAAGAAGGATAATCCTAACAGGTGAAACATTAGTTAGACTGTAGGGATGTATGCAAAAAAAAAGAAAAAGAAAACAAAGGATGACCTGAGTCACACCACCACCACACAATCACAATTACAATCAGCACACAAGAATACAGGCCAGTGTAACCACAATCAGTAGTGGCACACGTACCCACACAGAACTGCTCATACTGCTGCTGCTGTCTGCATCACCCTTCTTGTTGTTTGCTGTCTCAGGAGGAAGTGTTGTTGTTGCTGTTGTAGTGGTGGTGGTGGTATCTTTATTTCCTGTAACACCTTCTTCATTTTGGTTGTTTGTTGATTCACTCTCTGCAGATGAAGTATTATTCTCATTCGTTGGAGCGTCAGAAACACCGGAACTCCCTGCGGCTGAAGTGTTAGGCGAGTCAGCAGAAGGTTGTGTTGCTGTTTCACTTTCAACTCCTGCAATGTTGCCGTTATCGCCACGTTCACCTTCAGCTGTAGGGACACCAACAAGCTCCTCAGTAGTAGGAGATGTGGGAGTAACTGATCCAGCAGAAGCTTGTGCAGGATGAAGAGATTGTTTACTATCTTTTTCTTTTGTGGGTTGTACGGGGTCTCCACGACCAGGTTCATTTTCTGCGGGCTTATGAGGCCCTTCTTTTCTCTCTGGATCCAGGTTAGGTATCTCTTTGTTTTGCACTGCTTCTGTCTCTTGATGTTGAAGATCCCGAGAAGAATCTTTCAGTGTTTGACTATCTCTGCTAGGTGCATCCTGATCTACAGAGGATGGGTGGACGTGACCACCTTGACCGCTTCTTCCACTACCACTTTGAGATTCAGAAAGAGAAACTGTAGAAGGATCATGAGAACCAGAAGGACCGGCCAAAGCCGGAGTAACACCAACACTAGGACCTATACCACCAAGATGTTTACCTGCTTCACTGAGACTACCTTGAGGATCAGGAACACCTCCAACAGATTTTCCTTGACCACGAGGTTCTGCTTGTGGTTGAGCAAGTGGAAGAGGAACAGAAGAACATGCAGTACCAGAAGAACCAAGAGCATCATCACCAACACAACGAGACTCTTCACTATTGAGTAAAGTAGGTTCCCGATCCTCCACACGAGATTCCACATCTTCTGCCATAGTAAACACAGTGGCAAAGCTCATAAGTAAAGCCAGTAAAATCAACACACGGTACAGTAACACCATAGAAAGCATGTTTTTTTTTCTTTTGGATGACGATTAGCTAGACAAAGAATAGATAGACAATACAAGAAAAACAACCGACACAAAATGCAATCACAGATGGAGAAAAGGAGACAGCAATCACACAACACACTACTACCTATACAAATAATAAAAATGAGAGAAATAGGCGCAGCACAAACACAAAGAAAGC